CTCCACCAGAACCTTTGGTTAAATCTTCGCCTGATTAGCGGCTCGCTACCTGCTGGTCGATACCGTCCAACCGCCGGTATCGATCCCACCTCATCATGTCTGGGACGAATACATCGTTTGTTGGCGTGCCACGCCGGTCAAGAAGGAAGGAACGCGTAGTAATCGTAATCGCGAACTTTTCCTATTGGTATCGATTCTGAAGATGCAGGCGAGTTTATTTGTACTTAGAAGAAAAGCTGAGATAAAAAGTGTGTTTCTTAAAAAACACGGAACACACAATAGGCCCCTAGATGTCTATCGGGTTTTCATTTCTACCGAGGCAAGGATTAGGTTTAAGGTCAGGTATAAAGCGCCAGGCTTATGATCAGAGCTAATCTTAAGGTGAGTGGTGGGCGTGTGTAGCGATACCAGCATCGATACCGCCCTGCCAATTGTCAGAAAATCTCCAAGAAAATGAGTAGGTGTGGATGGCCAGCTACAAATTAACCCTTTTATTCACAAACACTATATTAACCCTCTCGACCCCAACAAGTCGGATATTTGTGCTGTAAATCTACGGTCATCACAGGGTTAACAACAAAACACGAGCACGGCCATGTAAACAGATTTGCCGTGGTGGAGTGGTTGTGTTCGCTTTCTTAGAATATGTGTGTCTGCGTGTGTTGCTGTATGTGTGTATGTGTATCTATTTATGTATATGTATACGTATGTGTGTGTGTATGTACATGTGAGTTATCATTAACTCCTACCTCCGACATAAACAACAACTAGATTTTAACCAATGAACTAATTAAAATACATCCTCACACAATAGCAAGTCTACGTCACATAAATAATTAGCTTAATTAATGACCGTCCAATCTAGCCTCCTGGCAGGACAGACCCCAGATAACTAGGTCATGTGCAGATTTTCTTCCAGGCATGTCTTCAAGGGCTCTGCCCCCCCCCCCCCCCCCACCCCATTGAAGAAAGTCTACCGCCCCCCGAACGAAATGAAATTTATATAGAAAATATATACTTTTAACAGTGTCCGACACCCCGAAGAAAGTCTACCGCCCCCCCCCCCCCCCGAAAATTTCAAGTGCCCCCCGGAGAAAAAAAGTCTGGAAGAAACACTGGTCATGAGTAGACAGACCCCCATGGAACTAGGACTCTAAGGATACGCCTGTGTCCTCTATTCCACTAGTGAACCCTGCAACTGGATTTGACGCCCGGGGTTCCACTTGGTCTACCCTGGATTTCCAGGATTCGATGCGCAGGGTGTCTGTGTGGTCGAATGGTAGAGCGGCAACTCCCTAACACGAACTGTTGGAGAAACTTTCTCGATACACGAACTGTTGGAGAAACTTTCTCGACGATTCAGTTAAAAAACCATTTGGATCTAACAATTGAACCTTAATTTTTATTTTATTTCAGATGAATGAAGAGGACAATAGGACTAGGACGTGATTGTTTAAACAGGACAGTAGGACATGTAGCGTACTTGTGTTGCCGTGGTAACTAAAAAATCTGGATTATCGTTGAAAGATGGCGGCATTAAGCGATGTAGCTTAATCTGGGCGACGCTCTAAGCGGCTGATTGATGACACGCTCACCATTGATTAAAGATGCCGGCGCGTCTTGTTTTAACCGGCTCCGTTTCCGGCTATTCCGGCAATAGCTCATTGCTCCCCGGGGGCGCGGTTAATCACGTGATCGGGCTCCAAACTCGTTTTTCTCTTCCAGATAAATAGCGGGACTCGTGAAACACGCACTTGATTTGGGCAAGATTTACTCGTCCACTGTGGCGGGGTGGGTGGGGTGGGGGGGACGGGGGTGGGGGGAGGGAAGGGGGTGACTATAGGATTAGATCTCATGCTTTAGTATGTGTGTGTGTGTGTGTGTGTGTGTTTGGGGGGGGGGGGAGGCTGACTATAGGAAAAGATCTCATGATTTGGTATGTGTGTGTGTGTGTGTGTGTTTGGGAGGGCTTGGGATATTATGCTTTAGAATCGTATGCAAGTGTGTGTGGCGAGGGGGGGGGGGGGGGGGGGGGGGGGGAGAAAAGGGGGGGGGGGTTGTGTTGTGTATGATAGCCAGCTAGTCAAAGAGAAATGTCAGAGAATCCGAGTATACAAGTTTTATACGCGCGTCGTGTGTTTTAGGAGGGTCTGGGGTGTCAGAATGGGGATTTGAGAGAGGGATAAGGGAATGCTTTGGGCTATTTTAGGGAAGATATAAGGATAGCTATCTACGGATAAGGATGCAGATAGTTTTAGAGTTACGGAGTGGGTTTTTAGAGCTAAAGATGTGGATATGGAAATGGATAGGGATAGGTATCAAATGTATTCTAAACAGCGGGGGTGGGTTATAAGCGCGGGAGGAGGAGGAGGGGGGGATATATTGATCAGGGAATATCCGCGCCCCGTGTTGTTCTTGTGTCTAAAGTAGTAGTCACAAGGGGGTGGGGTGGGGGGGGGGTGTCAGTCAAACGAATCCCTCAGCTGACGACATATTGCATGCCTTGCGTCGTCTCCCCGCCCCCATCCCCGCCCCCATCCCCGCCCCCATCCCCACCCACATACTAAGGGACGTTACCCTCGGTTCAATGTGTTTTTTGAACACACACCTTTTGTTTTAGCGGTAAGTTCTCCGGCTTGCCGGCTCCGGCTTGCCGGCCATACAGTGCACTGATCAATGGCTTGCCGGCAGACTTGCTGTAATAGGCCTTACCGGTTGCCGGTTATTTTCTTAAGATATTATCGGTGACACGCCACATCAGGTTTATCTCAAGCCGGCAGAAATCAATGGCCGTGTAGTGGGGGGGGGGGGGGTCTTGTCTCAATGTCCGTGTAGTGGGGGGGGGGGGGGCTTGTCTCAATGGCCGTGTAGTGGGGGGTGGGGTCGAGATGTGGGGGGTCTTGTCTCAATGTCCGTGTAGTGGAGGGGTGGGGGGGTTCGGGGGGGGGGGGTCTTGTCTCAATGACCGTGTAGTGGGGTGTCGAGGGGTGGGGGGTGTTTTCTCAATGGCCGTGTAGTCGAGGGTCGAGGGGTGGGGGTCTTTTCTCAATGGCCGTGTAGGGGGGGGGGTCGATGGGGTGGGGGTGGGGTCTTGTCTCAATGGCCGTGTAGTAGGAGTTGGGGGGTCTCTCAATGGCCGTGTAGTGGAGGGGTCGGGGGGGGGGTCTTGTCTCAATGGCTGTAGAGGGGTCTTCACAATGGCCGTGTAGCGTCTCCATTGCCATTTGAGTAATCAGTGATTGTGGAAGGACTTGTCTGGCATAGAACGACAGATGAATATCGGTGCATGTTTTCAAGACTGTCGTGTATACTTATTGTAGATTAATTAGGGGTCGGCGTGGTCGAGTCGGTAAAGCTCATGGTTGCTAAACCAAAAAGTCTCGAGTTCAAATCCTCTGGCAGATGAGGCTCGACAGCAGCGGACGACAACTCCTCTCTAGGAGAGACAACGTCATTCGGGATCTTATACTTAGTGTGTCAAGAAATTCTGTAACACTCACACAGATGCAGAGTAACACACATCCACATGCACTCATATACACACATGCACATACTATAAAATACACTCATACACACAGAGACACACAAACACAATTATACGCATACTTACACACATACATATAAAAACATCTACAAATGACTCATCCCAGCTTACATCCTACATATGATTGCTCACGTGACCTCCCCCTCCCCCAGGGTCTGATTCATCACGTGATCACAATCTCGCCAGTTCAATTAATACCGCGAGGTCCCCGACGTACCAGATAGATTATGCACCCACTTTTTGTCTGGAATATTTTCTTCAGCCATGGCGTGTGGCTGATGTATCGACCAGCGCTGCAGGTCTGATGGTGTGGCATATCTCAACTGGCGGGCGCATTGATATGTAAAACTAGAGGGCCGCAGACACATTCTTTTAACAGATAGGACCATTGGAAACTTGAATTTTATTTCATTTTTATTTTCTTTGCTAAACATAGCTCTGAGAATTTCAACAAAAATGTGGGGCAGATGCATTCAATATATATATATATATATATATATATATATATATATATATATATATATATATATATATATATATATATATATATATATATATATATATATATATATATATATATATATATATATATATATATATATATATATATATATATATATATATATATATATATATATATATATATATATATATATATATATATATATATATATATATATATATATATATATATATATATATATATATATATATATATATATATATATATATATATATATATATATATATATATATATATATATATTGATTCCTAGAACGGAAAAAAGCGTAACGAAAAAAAACGCTAAGCAATAAGCGCAACGGAAAAACACGCAAACAGAAAAAAAGCACAAACAGAAAAAAAGCGCAAACGGAAAAAAGCGCAAAAAGAAAAAAGCGCACACAAAAAAATGCGCAAACAGAAAAAAAAGTATTGGGTGGAAATATAAATACAGTCACAATAAGATCAATATGATACGTCTGCATAGTCACAAGGTCTGACTGCAGCACATACATTCAAGTCACGTGCACATCTCATGACTAAATCTCCTACCCATGTGTTCTTCTACGCTACCGACAGCTTCGTGAGAGGAGGGGGGGGGGCTATAGGTGGGGTTAGAGGATATATGATTGTGTTTCAGTAATGAACACTTAGTTCTCGTAAGCCAGGTGAGATTTAAATTTTCCAACTAAATTTATTATCGTGATTATCATTACGGTGAACATGATTGCTATTGATGTGAACATGATTAACATTTTCAAAATAATTTTGAACTATTTCAATAAGGTTGTATTATTTCCTACTTTTTAGTTATAAAGTAATATTTAAAAAAAATAAATAAATAATATTATATTTAATAATATTATATATTTATAATACGCATTTTAAGTATAGTAATGAAAATTATAAAAAAATATTATTATTAAAATTTATAAACATTAATGTCAATTAATT